AAATAATGTGGATTTTGACTATTTTGAGTTATGCAGATCATTATGATCTAAAAAAATGTTTGTCTGGTGCTATAGTCAGGTATAAAAACATTCATTTATTTAAACACAGTTGCAATATACATTTTATTTAGTTTTTATGTTAAAACCTATTAGGACATCCTAAAATGACTTTTTTCGTTTGATGTGAGATTAATTATTCTACATTTTTGTTGGTGAAATAGAATATATTAAGATGTCTTACTGTTTTCTCTGATTATCTAAAAAGTTATAACAATATACAAAGACTGTTATAACAAAAAGAGATATACCTTTACTTAAACACACAATTAGTCAGTTCAATTGTACGATAATTTAAAGCAGAAATCCAGAAAACTTTAAAAATGTGTTTAAATGTGTTTTTACTATAACAAGGACATAATTATTAAAAAAACTTGGCACATTAACATTGACGATAGGTTTTTATAATATATATTATAAAAATCACAACGAACTACACAAAATGATATTATTAATAATTTAGCAATACAAAAGTTAAGTACAATGATGACATTAAAAGTTGAGTTTCTCGAAATACTTTTTTTTAAATTGTCTCAGTAACTACCTAGTATTTTTCTAGCACAATGATATTATATGAATGTGCATTGTGTGATATCTTATATTTTAGGAATAAAATTATATATTTTTTTGCAGGTTTCTGTTAACAATGATTCCAAGAACTTTTGAAAATATTATTGAAACGGCATTTGCAAATATAATTATCAATTAAGAGCTTTTGATCTAACATTAAATTTTTATTCTCCATAAGGTTATAGCTTCCTAAGAAGAAAGTTTAACAAGACTTACCAGACTCAAAATATCAAAATTTTACCAACCAATTGATGGTTCTACTGCTTTCCATAGGAAAATTCTCCTCAAAACTACTAAAAGAAAAGTGGCAGAGGCAACCGAAGAAGGCAAAAAAGTCTTTTGCAAAACAAAAACTAGAAATTTGTTTAAGAATCTAATTATTGTTTAAAGTTTTACCATTAATAATTTTTGATAACGATTTAAGATTATGAAGTTCTATTATGAATTTTACTCTTTGATAACCTATGTTTAAATTTTTATTAGGACCAAAATAAATTATAATTTTCATTTCAACTACAAAAACCCTCATAATATTAAAAAGGGGAAAAACGTTAGATTAGTTATGTTCAGAATTAAACTCTTTAAACATTTATCTACCTAAAATGTGTTACTTTTAGAAGGTATGTTATTAACTTTCTATTTGTACTTGTATTAATTTATTTCATTTTAATATCTGTTGTATTTTCAAATTGATTTTGATATCAATCTTGTCTATTTATATATTTTTTATACTTACATATATGTTTTTTTCATTGAAACAAACGTTTATTAGCTTATTAAATATAATGAATTCATGTTGTTTTATTATATGCTTGTATGAATGATTACTTTTATTTCCTTTTAAAAATGAATTTCGAAGATAAAGCCGAAACGGTGAGTGAGAATAAAAATTAGACGAAAGTGACGATATTTACTGGAGCTTTCATCTACAGGCTCCTTTTTCTAGCCATCTACACCTAAGCCAGCAAGATTCGTCTTCCCTCCATCCTTACATTCTCCAGATTTACAGAGAAAACGCCGTCCTCTTTAACATATCCAGACCTTCTTGACGTAGACTATACTACTACATTATCAACTTTATTTGTTATTCAGAGCAATTTAAATGCATTCGTAATTGCTCATTCTCACCTCTTCTCTTGTAGATTCCGAACTCAGTTTTCTTATTTTTAGTTACGTTTGCACTGCTCTTTTATTTTCACAGCTTTAATTCTATAATGCTGTAACGCTACAATATGGATCCATTTATGTGGTTTATACTATTTAATGTTATTCGTAAGTGACCAACCTATTATAATAATTAAAGATTATTGTATTACAGGCCTGAAGATGTTCCTGTAAGGCCGAAACTAGTTGCTCCTGTATTTATAATAAAATTGATTTTAAGGTTTTATTCTTCAATTGAAAAAATTAGACCTTTACAGTGATTTTGCTTCTTTTCCTGCATTAAAAACATATAAGACGGTATTCATTTTAAAAATAGTATAATTAGCAAATTTTTTAGTTTTTTTACAATTAAAACATTTGGACAATGTGTTTTAATAGATAAATGATACGCCACTGAACAAGAAGGATGTTTACCTTCCCCCTTGTGCCCGCTTCCTCACTTCCTCTACAGATGTTGCTAACACAACAATCGCCTACAAACTCGTTTTCACGCTCCCTCTATTAGTAATTGCTCGGAGTTTTATCCCACTCATGTACAGTCAAATCGGGTAACTTTGGACCAGGTCTTTGTTATAAATCTGAATTTATTTGTTATAGTTGCATAATTATATTGAATGATGTACCTACTGGTATTCCTGTAAAATGATCTATATGAATTTTAAATTAAAAAAATTGACATTTATTGTAAATATAAAAAAAATATATTTTTGGGTGTGGTCCAAAGTTATATTGGATTTGGGGTAACATTGACCAAAGTATTTCCATCGAGAGAAATTACTGATTTCTTACACTTTAAAGGCTACAGGTAAGATTAAACTATATTAGTTTTAATGTAGAGACTCCAGGTCAGTTATTAGTTATAATTAATTTGTATTTAAGTTGACAAGAACACCAGCAAAATTATATCTTCTTTTTTAGAACCTTTCTTTAGTGGCATTTCAGCCAGATACGTTTGTGTTGGAACATATATAAAAACATAATTTATAAAAAAAGTCAAAGTTTTATTAATGGTCTGGTCTAATGTTGCCCCTTGGTCCAAAGTTACCCGATTTGACTGTAGGTAATGTAGGTAATATATAAAAAATTATTATTGTGGTTGACTTTGAGTTTTCTCATTTCTTATTTCTCACTTTTAGTTCGTTTTTGTGTAGATATCACGATCTGAATTTCCGGAAAGAAGCTTTTTCTATTTGTTCGTACAACAAACATACTTGTACCTATTGAGGGGAAAGTAAAAACAATTAGGAAAATTATTGAAACTTTCATTTAGTTATGATTATACTGTTTGCCGCTCCCATGTATCGAGTTAAATAGTAAAAACCGGTAATCACATCTTCATTATCATTAGACACATGAAGAAAGATGATTGATTGAAGATTTCTCTGGTAATGAATGTGCTGAGTTCTGGACTCACGATTTTTACCTTTAAATAGTAACAACTAAATAATAGGAAAATTTATTGAATAAAGAATTATTATTGACATCTTAAACCGAGGCTACTTTGCACTATTAGCAATTTAGTTTTACGATTATACAAGATGATAATATAAAAGTGAACAGCTTTAAAAATATTTATATAATACAAACTAGAATTATTATGTCTAAAACGATAAGAGCGTATCAAAAACCTTTTTTAAGTTATCAAATTTAGACATTATTATAAATAATCAGTAAAAATATTATTAACGAAAATATTCAACGTGAAGAGTGGATTACTAAAGCTTAGTAAAATCAACAAAAATACCTGTGGCACTCGGGGACTGCCGCAGTAAAGCTATTGCATAGCATTTTTTAACAACTTATGCAATTATAATTATTTATTTATTTATTTTATTTATGCAGTATTTTTTTCTTTGATAATAATTCAAGTTTTTTCTTTGATAATATTTCAAGTTACACTTTTTGAGCGTGGTGACCGATAAGAAAACAATTTTTTTTTCTTTTATTGAATAAATGAGAAGTTAATATTGTCGTACTTATTGAAAAAAAATATATTTCCTATTTGTTTATCTTTTTGAATTTAAATAAACGAAGTCTCCACTGGTAGCTTGCATTTTTAAAATTAGCTGAACCTGAATAAACCTCGTTATGCGCCACTATGCACTGAATAAGTATATACTTTTTAAAAACTAAACATTTTAAATTACCAGGACTGTGAAATAATAAAACAATAATATTTTTTCTTTTTTTTAAGGAAAAAAAAAACTAAAAGTTTCGTGGCTCGAACCACCAACTTTGCTATCCACACTATCCAAATTTTGACCACTGTACGCTCTGCGCCATCGAGCACATCTTGGTATAAGTTTGGAATCGTTTATACTAATTACTTGATTATACTACTATATACTATTACTACTATACTAATTATTTGATTACAAATATTTACGAATTATTACTTTTTAATTAAACAAAAATAAATTGGAAACAAAATTTTATCATGTCAAACGATACCTACATTATAATTTAATGGAATCACATAAATATATGATTTAAAAACTATAAAAGTATTATTATTATTACTTAACTTCTAGTTCTTGTATTGCATAAACGTTCCAGTCCGCAGACGTATATTTAACTCTGCTTCATACTAATACGAATAGCGTTAGGGATGTTGCGATACTACTGATATGATACTGGTATCGATACTTTTGTTTCGATACCGAGTAATTTAGTATTCGATACTTTTCTTTCGATACTTTACTCATATCGCTACTTTGTTTTTTGTTGTTAAACTAATGTCAATAATGTCAAATTAATTGATGGTACGACACTTTAGAACCAGAAACGTCAAAAAGTGTAATTAGAGGAAAAAGTGTAGTATAGAGTGGCTTTTATGACGTTTTCTGTATTATTTGAATTATTTCCTTTACTGAGTTACCCAGCTTTGTATTTTTGTCTTTGTTTTTTGGGCGTTGGCTTAATTTGTTTTGTTACACAGCATATTTCTTATTTCATTTTACGTTTGGCGTTTGGCTTGAGTCTTTGTCTTGAATTTTTAATTGCGAATTGTAAAATTTTGAAGATTATTTTAACATTATTCCGTACATTTTACATTATTATTAGTGGTAGTGGTTATTTTTAAGTAGTTATTGGTTTTATTTTGTTTATATAAGTACACTTTAGTTGACTTAGTTTAATTTTGTGCGAACTAATTATTAGTGGACATTGTATTAAAATTTAAGACAAAAGTTGTGAATTGTGAATATACCATGGCCCCTCCAAAAAGTCAAGTATGGAAATACTTTAAGAAAAAAGATGTAAATACAGTGTCGTATACCATTTGTTTTAAAAGTTACAAGCATTCCGGGAATACGACCAATCTCTTGAAACACCTCAGACAACATCCCCAAACTCAAAAAGAGAATAAAAGGTATTAATTTAACCTTTTTTCTTTTTGCCTTCTTTTAATACAGTCATTATTTCAGTAAAAGAGATGTTAAATCATCTACATCTGCTGCATCTACGTCTGCTACATCTTCGTCTCCTCCATATACGTCTGCTGCATCTACATCGGCCGCATCTACGTCTGCTGCATCTACGTATACGGCATCTGTCAATATTAGTTCTCGGATGATACAAGAAACGCCTTCTACAAGTTTTGGAGTTGTTAAAGAAGTGCAGGGACAACAGTTACTAGCAGCTAAGGTACAATATTATTTAATTTGTTTTCATCCCATATCTAGATTTCATTGTATAAATTTGTCAATATATTTTTTTATTCTATTCCAGGACATTAAACGACCTTACACAATATCTGATGCCTTTCAACACGTCAGTTCGTTTAGTGGTAAGAATTAATTTATTAATATTAGGATGCAAAGCTGCATTTTTAAATAAATCTATGACATTGTATAAATGGGAAACAACTTATTTTTAGAAGGTGGACCACGATATGCAGCAATAACTTACTGCATACTATATTTCATTTGCCGTGACAGACGTCCATTTCATGTTGTTAAAGGTGAAGGATTTTGTCGTCTTCTTAAGACACTAGCTCCAGCATATAAAATACCATCTGAATTTAAAATAAAACAATTGCTGGATGAGAAATATACTGCAGTATATAAAGAAAAGTTTAAAGAAGTCAGCGCATTTTCAGTAACATGTGATGTCTGGAGCGAAATGATGACATGCAAGAGCTTTTTGGGAGTAACCCTTCACTATCTGTATGGTAAGTTATATGCATTAATACATATATACTTATATAAATCGTATAAACTTTTATTATAGGAACAGTTCTAAAATCTTCCATAATTGCTACAAGGGAATTGTCAGAAAGCCACACCAGTGACTATCTTGGAGAACAGCTGGTGGATATTTTAAGCACATGGACAATTGATTTGAAAAAAATTGTTGCTGTTGTTACTGACAATGGTGCCAATATGGTAAGGGCAGTTGCAAAAGCCGAAAACTTGGGGAAAAATAAACATCCCCTGTTTTGCTCATACAGTAAACTTAGTGGTGGAGTGTGTAATGGGGAATGCAAGTGTTTCTCCATTAATATAGAAAATTCGAGATATAGTGAAATGGGCAAAGAAAAGTGTGCGTGTAAGTGACGCCATTAGAAAAATTCAGCAAGATCTGGGGTTCAAGAGGGAAATTATAAAAAAATGATTTTGGATGTAAAAACAAGGTGGAATTCCTGTTTTTATATGATAGAGCGGTTATTAGAAATGTGCGATATTATTACCCCAGTTTTATTAAGAGATGCAAAAGCACCACTGTTGCTTAATGCAAAAGAAATGGAGAGTGCCAAGCAACTGGTGGAATTGTTGAGGCCTCTCGAATATATAACACGGGAACTGTCTGGGGAAAAATATGTTACAATTTCGAAAATTATCCCAATGATAAACTGCTCTGTCAAACAGCTTGAATCTATTAACCCTCTGCAAGAAGATGTAAGTGCAGCAAAAGAAACGCTTCTTGCAGAATACAAGAAGAGATTTGGCAAGATTGAACAATGTCTTCCAATTGCATTTGCATCTTTATTGGATCCTAGGTTCAAAACCCTACATTTTAATGATGACAATAGAAAAGTCATCATCAAGTGATTCGGAAGATGAAAAAGGTAATTATGATTTTTGGAAGCATCATAAGTTATTGGCTCATGGCCATGGAAAAAAGAGAAGTAGACAGAATAACGAACTCAGCCAATATTTGTCAAACCCTGTATCGTCTTTGTCTTCTGATCCTCTCCTTCAGTGGGAGGATATGAAAAGCATTTTTCCCTCTTTGTATAAGGAGGCTAGAAAACATTTTTGTATTATGGCAACTTCTGTTCCTGCTGAGAGATTATTCTCTAAAGCAGGAGCAACTATGTCAAAAGACAGAAATCGTCTTCTTGGAAAGAGATTGGAAAAGTTGCTTTTTTTGGGAGATTGCGATGAAATATGGTAAAAGTTAATTTTTTTTGTATTTTAATTTAATAAATGTGTTTTGAATCATACTGTTTTTATTTAAAGATTAGGATTTATTAAATATTTAAGGTACAAATCATATGTGCTACAATTATTAGAGGCTTTTATTTTTCATTATTTTAATTTTTTCTTCTATAAACTAGTTTAACAGTTATTTGTTTAATCGTCAACAAAGAGTTTTTTTTTGAATGGTCACTCATTTTCCACAGTAACAAATTATTTTGGCATGCCCCAAGGTAGTATATTAGTATCAATACACCTTTTATAAATCAACCAAATTTAAATAATCTATATACATCTTTTTGCAGATGACACTTTTTTACTTAGCTGCACGTGGCTTAAAAAATTTAATTTTAGAAATGTAACTAACGTTCATTAAATGTAATATTTAATTATACATGCCAAAATATGCTTAAAAACAAAGCATCAAAACAAAATGTATGCTGCTTGGGAATAGAACAAAGTATTACGAGAGTTTCTAGTAAACAACTAGCTACTATTTGAAGATTGGGAATGACTATAGGACAAGTTGAACAAATTAAATACTTAGGAGTGGTACTTAACCGAAAGTTAACATTTAAAGAACATGCAAATTAGATAATATCCGAAATTAACCATGGAATATATTAAAATTATAATCCTTAATTCTAAGCCATCCTAATTATTGTTCAACAGTGCTATATGCTACATCTTCTAAATCAAAATGATTTACATAGAGCACAAAAGCTACAAAGCAATGCGAGTCATATTGACCTGTAATAGGTACACACCTATAAAACTCATGTTAAGAAACTTATACTTGCTGCCAGTTACTCTCAAATTTTTTTTTTTTAAATACAAAAAGCAGAGGCACTGAAGTATTTGGTAAACAAGTTGGTGTATAATAACGAAATACATACATATAACACTCACTAGATAAAAATAGCACTTCATTCCACCAAAAATGAGTAAAGAAGCTAAATTTTGTCATTTGAGTAAACTAATAATGTATTTTAATTAATTTTTATTCTGACCACGTATGTGTGGTGTGGTAGAATTTTTGTGAAAAGATTTGTTATATTTTTTATATTGTATATCTTAGTATCTACCTATAAGGATTAAACATTGTAAATTAGCTTCTACTAAATAAATAGTAGAGAAAGAACCATTCTCAATTTTTTTTTCGTAAAATAAACACTTTTTGATATTTTTCGAAATACAAAAGATTTTTGGACTAGTTTTGGGTCTATTATCTGCAAAGCATAAAAATATAAAATGATTTTTAAATGTCAAATGTCATAAGTCATGTCAATAATGTCATTTGTCAACAATTTATAATGCGCATGCGCAAACAATTTTAGTATCAGGTATCGGTATCGATACTAACTGTCAAAAGTACTTCCAATACCGGTATCGATACTTTTGTTTCGATACTCCTTCCGATTTCCGATACCAGTATCGATACTTTAGTGGTATCACAACATCCCTAAATAGGGTCGGATTCGGATAAAACCTTCCACGGCATTCAACGCTGCACCGCTTTGCCGGTCGGAGTGGGGGGTGTTAGGTTTACTTTCGTTACGGTGTTACGGAATTTCTTGATTCGGTCAAAGCCCGCGATAAACGCTATGCAATAGCTTAATAAAAAAAAAATATACGAAGAATATAACATTAAGGCTGTTTTCCAATAATATTTTTATTTCGAACTTGTGAAAATATTTCCCTCTTTATCATATACCTGTAATCAACGGTAGCCTGGATTAGCAAATATAAAGTGATTCGGCCAGGGTCTAACTCGCTCTTTTAATTGTAAAAATTTAGTATAAATAATTTTTTATTATTTTTTACGTGTTGTGTAACTATATAGCAAAAGGTTAGACTATTTTTATTATACATTTTACTGAAGAAAAAATATATAATTTGATTGATATTCGAATATGATTTTTATTTATTAATTTCCAAATTATATCGAAATTCATGAATATTTTGAGAAATATCTCGAGTCGAAAACAATGGACAATTTTCAAAATATTCCTAAGAACAGATTATATTAATTTTTAATTTATTGGAAATATTATAAAAGTAACCTTTATTTCAAATCCTAATGTACTAACACTCCACAATGTCTTTTCGATAATACTCAGCTCATAATGTGTTGGTAAGTAAAAGTATTTTTGAAGTAGCTTGGGAGGCCATGGAACAAGCAGGACTGAAAGAATTGCAATTAGCAAAAGATATTGGAGAAGTAGATGAACAAGTAAATGGTCTAATTGCAGTGATTGTTGACGGTACATGGTCCAAGCAGTCATATAAAGTAATTTATAACGCTTTATCTGGAGTTGTAAGTTTATATTTTAATATTATAACGTGTGATCCAAAAACAATGTTTCTAAAGTAAGTCATGACCGACAGAATTGTGAAGAATCCGTCATGCGTGAATTTTTCATTGTCTACTTTAGAAACATTTTTATATTTGACATAATAAAGGGTTTATTTTTCAATGCACTTATTTTTTACAGGCTTGCATTATTGAGGCGAAAATCGAAAAAGTTTTGTATGTTTCTTTTAAAAGTAAGTATTGTCCTATCTGTGCTCGAGCTTTAACTAAAAACATAAAAGCTGCAACTAAATTTTGGAACCGTTCGTCGACTTCTATGGAATCAAAACTAATTTTAGAAGGATTCCGTAATAGTATAAAAATGCACAAATTAAAATATGTAAAAATTATTGGTGATGAATAATGGTCCGCAAAGTAGAATACATAAACCATCTTTTCATCATTGCGCCAAATCTCTAAGTGTACAGGGTGTCCCAGAAAAACGCACCGAAAGTTCGTACGCGAGGCGTTAAAAGTATCCAGTAATCGTCGTCCTGAAAGAATGATGCTGTGATTTTTTCTTTTAATTTGACCAACAAACAATGAATGTGATATGATTACATGTCTGTGCAACACAGGGTGTTTTAATTTACATGTCCCTTTCGAAATCGTAGTAAAACAAAAACAGATTTAGGTATGCCGGCCCTTGTTTCGGCATTATATAGCGAATTAGAAAGTGAAAATGTTCTTTTTTAACTTTCTCGAGGCCAATTTATGCTTTTGAATTTATCTGAAAACTCTGCTTGTTATAAGTTACAATAAAAAACCTAGTCATGAGCCTTATTGGGACGTTCGATATAGGATAGGTTCATAAAAATATACCCATATATTATAAAGTATACAAATCTATATTTCGTTCCAAGTTTATTTTTCTCAAGTATAGGCTATTAAGTCATTGTTTACAACAATACTCAGCATTACGACAAATAAAGAACACCTAATCAGAGAAAAAGAAGCTTTAAACTGCATATATGCTTTCTCTTTCCGGATTGTACTTACTTGAAAGCCCCAAAAAGTTGTAATTTTAGAACTCAAAGACAATCCTTTTCATCCCATAAGCGGTATACATTATTTAAAGCCGGACTAATAGTAGCTCCTGATGGATTTATAGTCGATGTTCATGGTCCTTACTTTTCCGACAGCAGGAACAATGATGCAGCAATATTGAGAAAAGAAATGGAAGAGGATATTCAAAACATAAGACAATGGATACATGACGGAGATATATTTGTCGTTGATAGGGGATATAGAGATGTTGTAGAATTTCTTGAAACACTAAACTTGAATTGTGAAATACCACCGTTTTTGCCAAGAAATCGTCAACAGTTTACCACCGAGGAAGCGAACTATGCTCGTAAGATTACCAAAACGCGCTGGATTGTAGAATCGAGGAATATGCATTTAAAATCATTGTACAAGTTCATTCAAGATGCGATACCTATGCAAAATTGTTACAAGTTATCAGAATATTTAAAGATTGGTTGCGCTCTTATTAACGCATACCGAGAACCAATTCATATGCAGGATGAGAGTGACGAGCTGGCACAGCGAATGCTAGAGCTAGTCCAAAATCCTAATAATCCCCTACATGATAGGATTCTAATGGAAAATCTGCAACTTAGGCGTAATGGAGGTGCATGGGTTGATATAAATGAAAATAACATCCAGCTTACATCCAGGATACAATTGAAAGGGAAGCCAATAACGAATTTCTGTTTCAAGTTCAGGAATTTGAGCCTGGGCTCATTAGAGCAAAGCTATTCTCCCGATTTACTCAAGTCACAAAGCATTTTCTTTTTATTTCATACTTGCTGCCTCCTGTGCGTGATGGGGTCGACCCAATACAAGGAACATATTGTACTTGTAAAGTTGGGGCTAAAACACTGGGTATGTGCGCACATATTTCCAGCGTAGTGTAGTATCTAGGCTATGCTTGACACGAAAACGACGTCAAGTACCCAACAAACGTCTTACTTAGATGTATCCAAGACGCCGCTAATAGAGATTAGTATTCCAAGAGAATTGTCACTACCCAATAATAGTTTTACCCCTTGACAAAAAATGTTACTACGCTAATTAACTCACAAAGTAAGATAATAAATCAGTTCTTGTTTCTTCCATTTAATAAATAATTGTTTTTTTACGATTTTGTGCTTTTTAATTCTGAATGTTGGCTACATCAAGTAAATTAAAAAAAATTAATGTGGTATTTGGCCATTTATACCTAGGTTAATATATTCCAATGTATTTAATACTTCTATTTCCTTGCATATTCATTGTTTTTTATTGTAACTTATAACAAGCAGAGTTTTCAGATAAATTCAAAAGCATAAATTGGCCTCGAGAAAGTTAAAAAAAAACATTTTCACTTTCTAATTCGCTATATAATGCCAAAACAAGGGCCGGCATACCTAAATCTGTTTTTGTTTTACTACGATTTCGAAAGGGACATGTACATTAAAACACCCTGTATTGCACAGACATGTAATCATATCACATTCATTGTTCGTTGGTCAAATTAAAAGAAAAAATCACAGCAACATTCTTTCAGGACGACGATTACTGGATACTTTTAACGCCTCGCGTACGAACTTTCGGTGCGTTTTTTTGGGCACTTTGT